GCTTGGAATTTAAAGAAGTCTCTATGGTCTGGGAAAGGGGTTCTATGGAGTATAATTCAATCAGTTAGACTTCACATTACAAGTAGCATCAAGAATTAGCCTAGGGCTTCCCTGGTGGCACAGTGGTTGAGAGTCCGCCTGCCGATGCAAGGGACACGGGTTCGTGCCCTGGTCCGGGAAGATCCCACATGCTGCAGAGTGGCTGGTCCCATGAGCCATGGCCGCTGAGCCTGGGCGTCTGGAGCCTGTGCTCCGCAACGGGAGAGGCCACAGCAGTGAGAGGCCCGCGTATCGCAAAAAAAAAAAAAAAAGTAATTAGCCTATAGTGGTTTAAACAGCAAAGGGAAGCTATTTTTTTAAATTAATTAATTAACTTATTTTTGGCTGTGTCATGTCTTAGTTGCGGCATGCAAGCTCAGTAGTTGAGGCACACAGGCTTAGCTGCCCCAAGGCATGTGGGATCTTAGTTCCCTGACCAGGGATCAAACTGGCATCCCCTGTATTGCAAGACAGATTCTTAACCACTGGACCACCAGGGAAGTCCAAAGGGAAGATATTGGCTGAAATTCCCAGGACAGGCTGGCTTCAGACAAGACTCTATCTAGAGTATAAAGAACATCACTCAATTTCTTTTTCCCCAGTAGCTCCACATTCTTCTCTTGCAGGGTCCATTTCCACCTCACAGCCCTACCCTTTCTTTCCCAGAAGCCTCCAGCAAATATATATTTACATCTCATTATACCCGATTAGTTACATACCTTCCTTGAATCAATCACTGTTGCCACAAAATTAAGATATCCTGATTGATTTAAGCTAATGAGTGCCTCCCCAAAGTGTGGGAAAGGTCAATGGCACCAGTCACATGGCCTATACTATGAGAGGGTGGTTGTCTAAGTATATGCAGGATACCCAGTAAGGCCAGCAAGTCACCTGGGGGTGAAGTAGTGTGGCTCAGGAAGCATTGCTGACTTGTTGCTCATGTCTTTTTCCCTCCCTAAGCCACAATGTCAAAAAAATTTCTCACAACAGGGGGCCTCCCCACATTATCTTTTCCTAAATAATGGCAGAAGAAAGAGCTCTGAATTAAGGATCAAGAACTCTTGACTTCTGTCTTGGCTCTGTCAAGGCACTGAATCTTTCTGTTTCTCATTTTTTTTACTATGAAATGTGGATAATGACACCTGTCCTCCCAGTGTCGTCAGGAAAGTCAAGTGAAATGGGAGTTTGAAATTAGCAGATGCAAACTAGCATATGTGAGGTGGATAAACAACAAGGTCCTACTGTATATCACAGGGAACTATATTCAATATCCTGTGATAAACTATAATGGAAAAGAATATGAAAAAAATGTATATATGTATAACTGAGTCACTTTGCTGTACAGCAGAAATTAACACAACATTATAAATCAACTATACTTCAAAACAATAAATTTTAAGAAAACCAGGTGAAATTTAACTTAACTGAGTCACTTTGCTGTACAGCAGAAATTAACACAACATTATAAATCAACTATACTTCAAAACAATAAATTTTAAGAAAACCAGGTGAAATGATCAGTTTGAAAGCCCTTTCAAAAGCATCAAAATATACTAAGAAGGACTATTGGTAATTCACCCTCAGTGCTCATGTCTACATATTCCTCATCTTGAGAGATTAAGATGATTATGCCAATGCACCCCTCATTTTCTCTGTTCCCTCCACTCCAGGCTGTCTGGCCATCTCTCAGTTCCTCATTAATGTATATCAACCCTGATGCTTTATACTTGAGTAATGGGAAACCTCACCCCAAAGGCGTTTGATGGCAGGACACCTTACTCCCTCCTAATGAGGAGTCCACAGGTAGGTGGGCTCCAGGTATGGGGTGTCAGGACTGTCCTGCCATATCTCTTGGCTCTGACCTCCCCAAGGGCTGCTCTCATCCACAGTCTCCTGCAAGACAACTGCGGTGGTTCCAGGAATCTTCATGTGTGTCTCTTTTTCTAAGGTTAGGAAACCTTTCCAAGAAAATTTCTTATGTCTTATTGGTTAGAACTGCTCACAAGCACACCCCTAAACCAATGTCTGGCAAAGGGGGATGGGATTCATATGACTGGTGGAGATTCCTCAGGATTAACTTTTTGAGCTAGGGATAGAGCTATTTTCTACATGGCCGCATGGTGGAAAATGGTCTGAAAATGATCAGGGTCTGACAGCTGAAAGAATGAGGAGAGGGAGGAGACTGGCTATTGGGTGGGGGACAACCAGAGTCTATATAGTAGATGCTCTCAGTGACCTGCTCTTATCCCCAGGCCCTATGACCTGAGTGCACAGCACTGACTTCTGACCACTAGCACTTGTGTTTCTTTGCTTGAAAACTTCTTCTGGTCTTTCCCACCCATGCAATAAGCCAAAAATACTAGGGGATTACTATTTCCATGCTGGGAACAGCCCTCAATGACTGTTGAGAGTATATACACTCCCACATGTATAAAAGCTCCAGTTCCCTCATCCCGAGGGTGGGATCACTCTGTGGTGTTTGCTCTGCACTGGCCTCCAGAATGTCGTAGCCCAGTTACATTCCAGCTACCCATGTCCAGTAGCTGGCTGGACAACACACCCTCTCAGGCTGCCCTCCTCTTCCTGCCTCACTTCTCCACTCCACTGTGGTGCTTCCTACACCTCCTTTGACTTCCTATCTCAGAGTCGGCTTCTTGGGAAGTCCAAATGAAGATACCATATGTCAAACTCCTTCCTGAATCCAGAGACTCTGTACACAGCGTTCCTATCTGCTCAGAATGTGTTTCCTCTCCCTGCTCATGCTCACGCTCCCTTCCAGTTTCAGTGGAAATGTCACTTCCCTCTGGAAACCTTGTTTGAGCCCTTGTCCACCTTAGGCCATCCTCTCATTGTTTGCTCTCCTCTTTTGTATTTCTCCTTAAGAATGGTTGTGATTTAATTAGTTGTTTGTTTAATTATTTTTTTTTATATCTTTATCCCCAACTAGATTGTGAGCTGCTTGAGGGCAAGGACAATGCTTCTTGCCTCCTACTCTATCATTGGCTCCTGGCACACTGCCTGGCACAAAGTAGAGGGTCAAGGACTGGCTGGATATGGGAAGATGAACCTTATGAAAGATGTAAGTTTGAGGGTCATTCACACAGAAAAAATTGTGAAAGCTTTAGATAAAAGATATTTTATTTACATGACTCTTAATGGATCTACATTTATTTCTTGGGACAGAATATAACTTTTATACATAGAAGGGATGCCCATTGTCTAAGGGAGAATCTTAGAATGGCTCCTTTATATCTATAAAACTGCCATTTTAGTCACCTTTTAATTTTATTTATACATTGCTGAATTCCATCTCAAATCCACTATTCTTTCGTTCATTCATTCATTAAATGCCTACTTATAGGACACTGTACCTGGCAAGACTCTAGAACTATCTGCTCTCAACTCTTTCTAAAAGCCATGAGAGAGACATATAATGACCATCATATAATATATGAGGAAGAACATCCCAGGTTCTCTGTCTGCCTCCCCTCAGCTCTACTTCCACAGTAGACTTTTGGCTTTTACTGAAGGAGCAAGGAACAATCTTATGAAATCAATCACTATATTTGCCGGAAAAGGGTACCTGAGGGCTTGTCTATTTTGTCAGTGCTCACATGGGAGAAATTTCCTTTAGTGACAAGTGGCATGAGGCAGGGTGAAAACAGCAAACAAACATGCATGCTTGCCATCTCTCTGCCAGGCAGACTCTTTCTTACTAATCCCTAAACAAGACCCTTACCTCTGCATGGGATTAATTCAGGTTTTGTGAGGTTTATATAATTTGGAATCCTTCTTCGTGAAAAAAGTACAAAATTACAAATAAAAATGTGACACAGAGCTTTGGAAGGGTCCACACAAGTGAGGGGCTCTGAATTTTAAGCTGCACTGGTTTCCTAGTAAATCAGCATCTGACCCTGATTAAGACTGGCTGGTCCTCCAGCCCCTTAGCCCTGCATGGTTACTCTGACCTCTATGCTTTATGTTGCTTTTTTGCCTGAAAAAATTCCGTCCTCCTTCTCCTTCAATCCCCGGACCATATTTTTTCAAAGTTTGGCCCCACAATGCGTTCTCTGATTCTCCCCAGTAGAAAGCTCTCCCTTCCCTGCAGGCCCACAACCCTATGTACGGAGCCCAGGATATGTTGTCTCATGATGGCTTAGAGGGCATCATGAATGGCTCTGTCTGAGGGGCATATACTGTGCCTTCTCCAATTAATCTTGGGCACAGGGACTATTTCTTCATTTAGATTTCTCCTCAGCACCTACCCAAGTTCTGGGTACAGCAGTAAGGGAAGGGAAAAAGGAAAGGTGTAATAAAGGCAAGATGATGGGGTGTGGAGTGAGGCTCACCTGATTGTAACTCTGCCCTCGTTAGTGCAGGACCTCAGGCAAGTCGCTTACCTCTCTAAGTCTTCGTTTCTCACTGACAAATGGATATGATAATGATGTTTATTTCCCATGATTGTTGTGAGGATTAAGTAAAGCATTTATTCATTCACCAAATACCTATTTAGCCCTCTCTTGGGCTATTTTTGGCACCAGAGGCTTGGAATACACGTGGCTCAGGGATACTCCCTGTGTGGCTGTTCCCATAGTTAAGTTGGGAGATGGAAGGTTATGATGTATCAAGATAAGGCTGTAGCAGACACTCAACCGGAGCAGAGCAGGTGCTCCATAAATAGTTGTTAAATAAATGACTGACAGAATGAAGGAATTCAGAAAGCAAAAATGATTAACTTTGCAAGATAAGTAACATGATATATTTGCAGCATCATCCAGATGTAAGTATAATGTTGAATATAATGGACATGGCAATGCATGGAACATCACGAAATGCTGCATGTTAAAGATAATAAAATCAACAGCAGAAAGAAAGCAAGGGTTGAATGAGAGGAGAGAGGACAAAAGGAAGGAGAAAGACCCTCAGAAGGCAAAAAGGGAGGAAGGACACCATGGACTCACCTGGCCAAGTGTGCACTCCATGCCACCCAAGAAGTCAGCCTCCTTCAGCTCATCGTGGTTGCTGCTGATGTCATGGACCTCAAACCGCAGGCGCTGCACCTCCTCAAAATAAAAGTCCACGGTAAACAGTTTTGAATACACTGGGTTGATGCAGGTGCGAATTACCTCTGTTCTGTCAACCTGCAGAAGAGAGAAAGAGAAAACCCATCAGGGATCAGGACTTCGTATCATTATCCTTCACGAGGATTCATCTTACAGTGCTCTTTCTCCCTCCAAACTGTCAATGCCCTCCACCAAGTCAACAGGGTGAGCAGTTTTGATGTCTTCAAGGATGCATCTTCAGAGAATAAGCCATGTTTCAAGGAGGAAAATCATAGAATAATCTGAGCTTTGTATTTAAGGGTTTAGAGCACCTTGTATTGTTAAGTAACAGGGCAACAAGATGGATTGATTATTAGGGGCTGCCTGGAGCCTCAGGATGAGAAAGAGTCTGAGGGCACGTTTGGGTTCAGAAGAAAAGAAATCTGTATTCAATTCCTGAAGTCTGAGGGGCACAGTCAGGGCAAATGACCATGTAGAAGCCCCATTTTAGCCAACCCTACTCTAGTATGAGTGTCATAGTTCATGAATCCCAGCATATTGAAGGGGAAAGGCATGAGAAGGGATATGAAGATAACTGCCTGTGGTCTCAAGTGTGCCTTTTGTTGGGTTTACACATGTTGACTCAGTCATTTCAGTACCCCGGGCCTCAGTTTCCTCATCAACCAGTGAGGGTTAGAGGATTAGAGGATGAAAAGTCCCTTTGTGCTCTAATGTTCCAGGAGCGAAGATTTCCCAGGCCTTCTGTGGTAATAACTCTCCATTTCTCTCTCATTTTCTGCCACACTCTGTGCCCCTGGAGGCTGACTTTTATGGACTGACTTTCCTGGGCTCCCTTGACTCTGGGCTCTGGGTGGAGGCAGCCAGAGGGGAGACTTGGCAGGAGATCAGAAGGACATGTTCAGTGTCTCCGCCCCTCTACACACACAAGTCTGCTAGGGACTCCCATCCAAGAGGGAGCTGCTGCCAGGATCTGGTTACACAGCCCTGACCCTCAGACAGAGGGGTGGTAATGGCTCTCTGCTGCTGCCTCGCCATCCTTTGTCAGCTCCCTTACGCCTGCCCAGGCACATGCAAAGAGTCCCTGTGTGAAGAGTTTAGCTCTTTGAGTGAAACTCTGGGTATGCCATCTGATTTCTGCTCGTACCCCCACCACTAAAGTTCTTCTCTTCCACATCTGTCCCAAGTAAGAATACTCAACACCATTTATATTCTGTGAAGCCTTAGAGTTACAGATAACCCAAGATCCTACAGTATCTCTCAATGGGAGATATCCATCACTCATATTTTATAGGTCAATTGGAGCCTACATGAACTGTCAGCTTTCAAATAGATACATCATTTTGTGAATGAAAAATATTGCCTGCCATATCAGTAAACAAAGGATGCTGCAGCCACCAAGCCATCATATTATAGCCACCGTGATGGTGAGCTCTGAGGGAACTCAGGATAGAGACAAATGGGATGCCAGCTGTCAAGCCCTCAGCCACTGCAGCCACCCCCACGGGGCACCCTGAGGGGACTCAGGATGGAGAGAAGCAGGATACTGGCCCCAGGTAGCTGAGGTGTATATCAAAGGAATGATTTCAGTGAGCCCAGACTCTTGCATCTTCCCATACATAGAAAAGCACTAAATTTCATTAACTTGAGATATATCGTTTTCTTTAATTAAGAGTAATCTTTTGATGTTTCCACTACCTGGTCTTTGTTGCAAAAACTCCTATATATCCTGGCTCCCCACCTTGCTTCTTGGGAGCAGACTCTCACGGTTATTTGAGATGCTGTCTCCCAGGATTGAAGTGCTCAGAATGTCCTCTGAATAAAACATAATTCTCAACTTTTAGGCTGTGCAATTTTTTTCAGTCGACAGTTTATTGGATACTTCCTAAGAGTCATTCATTAGTACAAACTGTGAAAAACATCTCCCCACTTTCATTAGAGTACAAGGAAAATTTCTCAGTAAAATGAGGGAAACCATTTTTGACCATATCGTGTGTGTACATGTTATCCAGCAAAGAAAATTGGAAACACTCTTGAGTTCAGGGCTTGGTCCCTGTCCCTGTCCCTTCCTATGCAGGGCCCTGTGTGAGAGAGTGTTACCCTGTAAGGAACACCATCTGCTATTCCTGGTGGGATGAATGATCCAGGTTGTGAGGAGGAGAATATGGTCCTTTTATGTCCCTGTGCAAGAGACAGAAAAACCAAACCCCAACCCACTGCTGATTAGCAGTTGACAACAAGCTACTGTACAGACCAATGGTTATTTAACTCTTCCAGTGAAGACTCAGCTTCTATTTGAGCTGAGTTTTATATCCTTTAAAATGTTCATTCTGGTGGGGAAGGATTGCATATGTTATTGGTTAACTGTGTAGGTACAAGGATTTACTGTATTCGCATAGTTTTTTTTCAGTTTATTAAGAGATTATGCTTTTGAGTAATAGTAAAAATCAGAGGTCACAAACTGGTAGTCTGCGGTTCATACTGACCTAGAGGTGTTTTATTCATCCTACTTAAAAGTAGTTTTCTCTTAATTTGCCAACAGAAAAGAGATGCTATTTCTATTGCCCTCCCTTTGGAAAAAAATCAGATTATCTGGCAACCTGGGGCTACATTCATAATGGCAACCATTGGGGGCTGCCCCATTCAGATGGGCATTCATTCTCCATTCTCCAAGCTCTTCACCCTCAATGAATTCCCCTGCCTGACTTCTGGAGGCATTTTTGCAACACTTGGTCCAAATTCATGGCATCATGAGCCATATGATAAGAGATTTAATTATATTCATATGGTGCCTTTTGGTAGAAGATTTTGAAATAATCCCCAAGAAGTAATTTATAGGTGGATTCTCAAGACACAGAAAAGGGTCTTTCCTCCAGGCTAGAAGAACAGAGTCCTAGCCAGGTTTAGATGATAAGAGACAGAAGATGGAAACTATAGTCTTTGTTTCTCTGCTTTAACCACCCCAAAGGGCGCAAATGGCTGATGTGCATCAATCCTGCTGATTTTCTTCTCACTTCTTGATTTTCAAATGCTCATCCCACATAGACATCACACCACACCTCAGGTGGACCATCCAAGGCAACACTGAATGACTTTGTTTTGTGAGGGAGAGGATTGGCTTGGAAAGAAGTTAAGTAACAAACATTTGCATTACCAAGATAGATAATTCCAAGGATAATCTCAGGGCCATTGAGACCCTTGAGTATGGATGCTCAGGACTAGGAGGAGAATGGTGATGGGGAAATGCTCATAACACTTGCAGATGTTTCAAAACGTTCTGCATTCCCAGTCAGTATGGGAGATGTATTCTTTTCTGGAGACTGAAGACAGGTTTAACCTGAGCAATAGACCCTAGGACGGCTGGTGTTTCTCATTGAAAGGTGTCAAGGTCAAGGCAGTTGTTTCCAAAGGACCAGCCATTGACTGGTGCTGCTGGTTGCATCAGAATCATGGGGCAACAGTAATATTCCACTGTATATAAGTACCACATCTTCTTTATCCATTCATCTGTTGATGGACATTTAGGTTGCTTCCATGACTTGGCTACTGTAAATAGTGCTGCTACGAAGATTGGGTTGCATGTGTTTTTTAAATTATGTTTTTTTCTGGGTATATGTCCAGTAGTGGGATTGCTGGCTCAGAGCCATAAAAAAGAATGAAATTGGTTCATTTATAGAGACGTGGATGGACCTAGAGAGTGTCATACAGAGTGAAGTAAGTCAGAAAGAGAAAAGCAAATATCGTATAATAATGCATATATGTGGAATCTAGAAAATGGTATAGGTGATCTTATTTGCAAAGCAGAAATAGAGACACAGATGTAGACAGCAAATGTATGGATACCAAGGCAGAAAGGGGTGGGGTGTGAAGAGCTGGGAGACTAGGACTGACATATGTACATTTTTCTTTATTTATTTATTTGTGTAGCCATTTAAAAAAATTTTTTTCTTTTGCATTTTTAAAAAACATCTTTATTAGAGTATAATTGCTTTACAATGGTGTGTTAGTTTCTGCTTTATAGCAAAGTGAATCAGTTATACATACACATATGTTCCCATATCTCTTCCCTCTTGCATGTCCCTCCCTCCCACCCTCCCTATCCCACCCCTCTAGGTGGTCACAAAGCGCCGAGCTGATCTCCTTGTGCTATGTGGCTGCTTCTCACTAGCTATCTATTTTACATTTGGTAGTATATATAAGTCCATGTCACTCTCTCACTTTGTCCCAGCTTACACTTCCCTCTCCCCATGTCCTCAAGCCCATTCTCTACGTCTGCGTCTTTATTCCTGTCCTGCTCCTAGGTTCTTCAGAAACTTTTTTCTTTTTTAGATTATATATATATATATATATATATATATAATGTGTGTGTGTGTGTGTATTAGCATACGGTATTTGTTTTTCTCTTTCTGATGTATTTCACTCTGTATGACAGACTGTAGGTCCATCCACCTCACTACAAATAACTCAATTTCATTTCTTTTTATGGCTCAGTAATATTCCATTGACATATATACATTATTGATACTATGTATAAAATAGACAACTGATGGGAACATACTGTATAGCACAGGGAACTCTTTTTAATGCACTGTGGTAACCTAAATGGGAGGGAAGTCTAAAAGGGAGGGAATTATCTGAATGTGTATGGCTGATTCATTTTGTTGTATAGTGGAGGCTAACACAACATTGTAAAGCAACCATACTCCAATAAAAATTAATAATAATAAAAAAAGAATCAATGGGGCAGCTTTCCTTAACACTGAGATTCCTGATCCCTATACTCCAGCTTCTGATTCAATAAGAGTAAGGGAATCCCCCAAATCTGTATTTTTAAAGGTGTTCTAGGCAATTCGAATATGGGAATATCAGAGTAAAGGAACTGAAGAGATAGAGGGTCTAGCTCTTGCTCTTGTGTGAGGTTTTTTTTTGTCAAGGTTTTAAAAAATCTTGCTTTCTTTCTGTTACCCAGTCTACAAAACTGTCAGCACGTCTCTCCTCTGCAGTTGTAATGACTGATACCCCAGGGTTGCTTATGGTTTGCAGAACATACTCACACACATTTTTTTATTTGGTTCTTATAG